TAAGCTAGTCACGCTCTTTCGGATAACACATTGTTTATCCGAATTGGAGGACCGCCCACAGCCAGGATTTTTCATGAGGGTTTTTAATTCTTTCCAATCCTTCTAGTTACAAGTCTAAACATTTGACGCAATTTTTAAAAAATATTAAAATATTTAAAACACAAAAAACCTTGTTGGAGTTTTCTTTATATGCGTTCCATCTTTTGTCGGCTCTACTGAATCAACACCCATCGGCATAACTGCCAAATTATTGCATGGTGAAGCAACAATCATATCAATTTCTAACATTGGATTTCTTTAAAAAACAAAATTTTAGCTTCGAAAAATAAAAACTTCTCACGTTTCATCAGTATCAACAGAAAATCGATATTCAACTTCATCATTGGTAAAATAATTGTGAATTTCTCCAATAAATAGAACAAAAATTAAAGTAAAGCTGAGGACAGTCACTGAAAAATAAATTAAAAATCAATATAAATTCAACTAAAAAATCCTCTCACAAATTCCATTAACAGCTTTTGGTTCTTCTTTAACATCATCTGTTACTTTAACAAAAGCATCAACTTCTTGGACCATTTCTCGAACACTTCCAATTCGTCTTTGCCGAATAGCTTGGCCATTAGGTAATTCCATTAAATAAAACAATAAATAGACTAAAAGCTAATCTAAAAACTTAATTAATCAAAAAAATTTGCCACAAAATATAATTAGAATTTTTTGTAATGTTGGTCATTTGTAGTGCACAACAAAACTTTAACTGTCTGACACAACATATTTTACATAATCTTTTTCTCTAATTAACAGTAAGACTTCTTTATTCAACTTCTTTATTCTTTTTTAAATATTGCTTTTTAAATCTATCATAATCCAAAGGAATCCAACAAGTTTTTGGATGTCTAGGAATTGCCAATTTTTTGAGAAATGAAGCATTTTTTGAATTATAAGACATTTCTAATGCTTTCATCATATGTCCGAGAATTTCCTTTAAAAAAATTATTTTTTATTTTTAAATTTAAAGTTAACGATCTGTACTAAAATCAGACCAAACCCCGCAGAAATACCAAAACTTCAAACGCCGCAGAAATACCGGAATTTTTTGGGTAGGGTTGATATTTCGGCGGTTCTTGAAGTTTGGTATTTCTCGTTTGGTGCGCTAACAAAAATAAATGGGCGTTTCTTTAAAAACTCCCCAAATAAATAAAAAAATCCAGGGATATTGTTTAAGTGAACTAAACCTTTAAAAAAGTTTAAAAAATTTTTTCTTACTTCATTAATTTTCCACGGTGTAGAACCCAAATCATTCAAAGCATCAAAAACAGGTCTAGCTTGTATTTTATTTTCAATACGTTTATCCAATAATTCAGCATTTAAATTTAAATGTGGATATTCGTCCATATCTCGAATTAATTTTGATTTGAAAAAATAATTTGGGCCACATTTGCCTCTGTCTAGCCATGGACGTGGAGGGACCTTTCAAAAAATATTTTTAATTTTTTAAAAATTAAAAAAAAATTCAAACCTTCATAGGTAACAAATGACTTTCAAAATACAAATATTCAAATTGATGTCTAGAACAATAAATTTCCGAAATATGATAATGAACTTTTAGCATTTTGCAAAAATTTGTTTTATAACCCAATCCTTCATGTGGATTTAATTCTTCAATTTGAACTTCTCCAATAGAAAAAGCATGTTGCCAACGTTTTTTACCGTTGTTGCTTTCATTTTTTGTTCCTCGATAAAGTGGAAATTCACAATGTTCAATTAGAAAAGAAATAAATAAATTGGAAATCTAAATTGGAAATTTTTATAAAAAATATTGTAGAAGTCCTCACATCTTGAATAGGTGTTTTAAAAAATTCTTCAAATTGGGGAAAATAATCTGGAGGCAATTGAAGTTGAGAAGCACATTTGTACCTTTAGTAAAAGAAATTAAAATTTTTATATTCTTTGAAATAACAGAATTTTGAAAAAGAAATAAAATTTAAAAAATTTTAAGGCCCAAAAATTCTGTTAATTTCGATCAAAAAAGAGACCTACAAAAATATATAAAAAAAAATCCCCAATGATAACCCGTAGCGTCGTGCTTTAATGACAAAAATGCCGAAGTTTGGAATTTTAGTTTGGTATTTCAGTAGTTTAGGGACTTAGGTATTACTGCAACATAACTACTGACTTTGCAGTCTTTCAATTTTTAAAAATGAAAATATGTGCTTACCACCAATCCCGTATTGTAAATCTTTTTGAAATATTTTTATCCAAATAATATCTTATATATTCTTTAAATAATAATTCAATATTCTAAAAAAGAAAATTTTTTATTAATAAAAAATTAAAAAAAACCTTTTTATATTCAACAGATAAAAGTCTAAAGAATGGATCTCTATATAAATTAATTATAATTCTTGGAAAAATTTTATTTAATTCAACTATTGGAACAGATCTTTGTCCACGACATAAAATTGATTGAAGTAATAATAATAGATTATCTGCACATTCTTTTGTGTCGATATTGTTGAAAAAGGTTCTCACTGTGTAAAAATTTAAAAAATTAATAAAAATTTCTCTCCTCAGTCCAGTTTTCTCCCCTAAAGCCGGCATATTATAAAAATGGAATCAAAATCTAGTCTAACAATTAGATTTATTTAGTCTTGTCGAGAACTCCAAGTGCCACCTCAGATTTATTACCAAAAATTTTCTTTATTTAACAAAAAAACCTCCTTACATTCCTTACTCATAGGCTTTTCTGCAATTATTCTATTCAAATTTTCTTCAATATGTTCTTTCCATTCCCAACTTTCTATCAATTTTTCCATTGGTTCCAACTCACTTGTTCGAGTTGTATTTTTAATCTGTAAATTTATATTTTAAATTAATTTAAAAAAATAAAAAAGACCATTGTAAAAAATGCTTCTTCAGAATCTAATTGTTCACGGAAAAGTTCGACATAATCCTTCTAAATAAAAAATTCTTTATTTCAATTTTCAAAGTCCTGGGCACTGTTCCGGCTATTTCAAAATTGATTGAAAAAAAATTCCCCAAAATTGATTCACCCTCCCAAATTTTTCCTGTCTTCGGACCCATGCCCAGCACTATTTTAAAATAAATAAAAAACCTGTGTTTTATTTCCCAAAATTAATGGACTTCCAATTAGATCAAAATTTTCATTATTCAAAGCTTCAACTAATTTCAAATTTGTATCATAACGATTAAATTTATTTGACGAAAAAGATGATGGTGAGGCTATTGAGGTATCTAATGAAGCTAATCTTGTTGCTGTTCTTTTGATAATAAATAATCGGTAAAAGAGGCGAAGAGTTGGAATTGTTGCAACCATTTTCTGAAATACCCCCTAAACTTTAATTTAAAAAAATAAAAAAAAATAAAATCAAAAAAGGTAGTAATTATTTAAAAATAATATTGAGGAAATAAACAAAATTTGATAAAATAATATTTATTATATAATTTGTGTAGGTAAATAAACATTAGTGTCCGGCGATGTTTTTCGGAGTCTGAAATCCAAAACTGGAAGGATTTTTTCACAATCTCAAAATTATTTCCGGACCCGAAAAAATGCTTATACCGGACACTAATAAAAATATTAAAGAAAAAGAAATGAAAAAATCCAAAATTATTTAAGGGATTATCTTTAAGAATATAATAGTCCACCTAATTTTTTTTTCGCTAACATAAATGTTGGCTAAGTTATTATTATTATTCTATTAATATTTACGGTTGTCGATTCTTGAAAAATCTCTGGATACCCAAACGGAAGAGAACAAACCCCAATATCCGAAAAATGAAAAATCCTCAGTTCAACTCGGTTCAGAACCGCCAACCCTATTCACATTATTGCAAGTGAAAAGATTGAAAAAATGATTTAGATATTAAAAAATAAAATTTTAAGAAAGATCACAGATAAAAAACAAACCGAGAAAATTTTTTAGAACCTACTAGTCATTTTAAATATGTTGACTCTTTTCACGTCCAAGTAAAAATTCAGCAACACCAATATAATAAACCATCTGGGCAATACCAAAGAGTGGGGCCATCACCATCATTCGACAGCCTGCACCTTTGAAAAAAGCACGAGGGCCTTCGTTTTTTAAAATTTTTCTACAAAAAAATTTCTTTAAAAATATTTTTTAAATTTTTTACCTAAACGCGTCCAATATTCCTCTATATGGGGGTGAATCTGTTGAGGATTTTTCAATTAATTGAATTCGTGTTTTGATAACCTCAAAAATTTTAAATTAAAAATTTTTTTTAATTTTATACATCCAATGGAGTCACTGAAAAAGAGGCTATAGCACCCGCTACAATACCAGCAAGAAAGGAAGCATAAAAAACAGCATCTCCACTTTGAGGTGATTTTCTGGGCCCCTTTAGAAAAAATTTTTTTAATTAAAAAGTGTCAAAAATTTAAAAAAATTTAAAGACATACTAATGCATCCAGTGTAGCAAAAAGTGGAAAATACATAACAGAAAATGTAACATCTCTGGCCATTGTTGGGGCTAATCCTCTGTATAAGCCAAATATTCCTTTTTCCTTGATGAGATTTAAAGCTAATTTTGTTGCTGATGTTTTGCTTGTTGAACTGGCTTCTGAAAAAAATTTCTTCATTTTAAAAAATTTTCCTATAAAATTTTTCAAAAAAATTTCAAAACCCCCAAGACTCTAATAGCCTCTTTAAAAAAATTTTTTTTAGAAAACGCCAAAAATTTGCGCTCATTAAATCGTCAGCTGGCTCTCTTTTTTTACAACCACCCGTCTTCTTTTTTATTTTCTAGAACATTCTAGAACCTTCCCTTTCTTTCTAAACCACTAAATCTTCACTCATTTTTTTTATTTTTAGAAATTTCTACAATATTCTAGAAAATTTATTTCTTAACCAAATTTTCCCCTATAAATATGCCTCAAATTTCCCAGTCCAACAATTCCAAAAATTCAAGCAACAAACAAAAACCACTCTCAAAAAACTCTCAAAACCAAACAAAAAATGCCATTGTGTTCTTCTTCCCCGTTCTTTTGGCCTGTAGCCGAACCTCGAACTCGTTCCTCCTTACGCCGATTTGATGATTTTGGTGACTTTTTTAATGTTCCAAGAACTGTTTCAATTTATTGGCCAACATTGAATGGAGCATTTGAACAAATTTTGAATGATGGAACTCATCAAATGTAAGAAAAAATTTTTTTATTGTTAAATTTTGAGAAAAATATTTCCACACCCAAAAGGGAAAGGGCTCAGGGTTCGAACCCTGTCAGGAAAAATAATTTTTATTTTCTATTTTTAATTAAAGTAATTTTTTTTCTTTTCAGTAACGATTTACTCGGCAACATCCGTCAAACAGATGATTCCTTATTCAAATTTTCTTGTGATGCTTCTGATTATCGACCTGGAGAAATTGAAGTTAAAATTGATGGAGAAGAATTAATAATTACTGCAGAACGTTCCTCCTTACGCCGATTTGATGATTTTGGTGACTTTTTTAATGTTCCAAGAACTGTTTCAATTTATTGGCCAACATTGAATGGAGCATTTGAACAAATTTTGAATGATGGAACTCATCAAATGTAAGAAAAAATTTTTTTATTGTTAAATTTTGAGAAAAATATTTCCACACCCAAAAGGGAAAGGGCTCAGGGTTCGAACCCTGTCAGGAAAAATAATTTTTATTTTCTATTTTTAATTAAAGTAATTTTTTTTCTTTTCAGTAACGATTTACTCGGCAACATCCGTCAAACAGATGATTCCTTATTCAAATTTTCTTGTGATGCTTCTGATTATCGACCTGGAGAAATTGAAGTTAAAATTGATGGAGAAGAATTAATAATTACTGCAGAACATAAAAAAGAAGACGAACATCAATCAATTCATCGTTCATTTACTCGACGTGTTCAATTACCCAAAAATATTAAAAAGGAAACAATTGAATGCAGCGTTGATTCTAATGGACAATTTAATGTTACAGCGGAATTAATTAAACCGGAAAAGAAGCAAGAAGAAAAACAAAAAGCTATTAAAATTCCAATTAAAATTGTTGGAGAAAACGGAGAAATTGAAGGGGAGAAGGCAAAAACGGCTGAACAAAAGGCCGAAGAAAAGAAGGAAGACGAAAAGGACTAGAAGGAAGATGAGAAGATGTAAACAAAAAGAAATATTCCGGAAAAACATTCTTTTACTTTAAATATTTTTGAGCGATATTCGCAATATTTTTTCTTTAATTTTCGGGAAATTTTTTGTATTCTTTTTTTAATTTAAAATAAATCTTTTTGTAAAAGGAATTGTTTATTTTTTAAAATTAAGTTAGAACTCGAACTCCCTTAGCGTGCCCCAAAACCACCCCCGTCTTATTTAAATCCACTTTTAAAAATTTAAAAAAAAATTTACAAACGTTGCATTTGTATTTTGAGTAATTCCATAGGTGTTGTTACAATTATTTGACAAAAACCTGCTGCACCACCTGCAAGCATTCCTTTTGGTATTGAAAGTTTTCTTTAAAATTTTTTAATTCTTTTAGTTATAATTTAAAAAAACTTTTCATTTGGAGATGCCAATTTATAACGAAAAAAATCATTAGCAACCAATTTTATTGCCTTTTCTGGAGTTATCAACAAAATATTTACACTGGAGCCAGAATATAATGAACGAATTTTGCTTAAAAAATAAATTTTTAGCAAATTTCTAGGCTACTTAAAAATAGTTTAGGTTGCCTAAAAATGTAAAACACATCTAGCAAGAAGAAAAAGAATTTCGGATTAAAGAGGAAACCCCCCTACTCAAGTGAATCGAACCCTCAATAATAAAAACATAAGGAAAATGATAACCAACAAAATAATTTCCGTTAGGTAAATTCTTAAAAGTTATTTAAAAAACCAGACCCATCTAGCAACAAAAAAATTTTAAAAAAATTCCAAGGAAAACCCACAACTCAAAGGAATCGAACCTAAGAGAATAAACAAACTAGATCACCAGCCCAAAACCACTTAACCCACAAAAATCAATAAAAAACCTGTAAACATTAGGCCCCCCATTCTTCCATGTTTGACGTCCACAATCCAAACTTTAATTTAAAAAAATTTCTTAAAAAAATTAAATTTTTCTTCCTTACATTCCTTGATATTGAACCTTTCCATTAGGCAATTCTTTTTGATTTTGTAAACGTGTTTTGACCAAATCTATAGGAAATACACAAGTTACACCAACAATTCCTGCAATTCCTCCATTTATGATTTTTGGTAAATAACTAAAAAAAAGATTTTCTACAGATTTTTGAATTTTAAAAATAAAACCTAAATTGTTTCTGTTTTTGTTCACCAAGTTGAGCAGCCGAAACTGTTATTGACATTCTCTCTCCTACTTAAAAATCATTTTAATCAAAATTAACCTTTCAAAGTCTATAAAATAAAGATATTCTTTAGAAAAATCAACTAGAAAATTTACAAAATAGTATCAGTGATAATAGTGAATTTTTATCACAAAGAAATCAGAACAAACAAAGAAAATAATTTAGAAAAAAATCTGAAAACAAAAAAAGACCCGTTAGAGAGAATGCGTAACAGAATTATTTCGAGAGAATTTTAGAAAGAATTTCTGAAGAAGCACCATAAAAAAATAACAATTTTTGAATCTGACAATAATATTAAATCTTTCAACTCAGAAAAATAAAGTTAGCCTTTAAAGAATCTAAATTTTCAAAAAAAAATTTCATTTTTTGAGTTAAAGGCTAGAAGAAAAATCAGTAGAAAAAATAAACAAAAAAATTTTGCCTTGAATTTAAAAAAATATTATGAAGGAAAAATAATAGCAAAATAGGAAATAATTAATTGAAATAATATTTTTTTAATAAAAAGAAATTTCAAAAAAAAACAACTAAAAATGTAGCAGAGTAACCATTTTAGAGACTGTTGCTTCCAAAAATCTTGAAGTTGCAAAAATACCTCCAACAATAGAACAAATACGTAAAGATAATTGTAATAAGGACCTTAAGAATTGAAAAAAAATTTAGAAAAATTAAAGACAAAACAAACATGGAAACAGGATGTACTTCAATTGCTGTAGCAACAAATTCATAATCAAAAATTATTGAATCGTGAACATGTTCATCACCTTCAGCTTCGTGTTTCTTTAAAATTTAAATTAAAATATTAAAAAAAAACAAGTCTAATAAAAACCGAATAAGTAACTGCATATTGATATGTACTCAAATAATTTTGACCAAATAAAAGTCCTTTACTGTAAATACGAGTTGGAACAACTAAAAAATAAAAATTTTAAATTATATGACAATGTAATAACAAAAAAGCCGAAATACCAAACCTCCAAAAGTCAATCAGAAATACCAAAACGCGGATTGATAACAACCTTTAAACTGAATGGAATACCTATATGAGTTTGTATTTACCCAAATTCGGCATTTCCCACGTTTTCGGGAGTTTGGTATTTCGACGTCTGGTATCATGGCTCCCCCGAAAATAAATAAAAAATAAAAAAGGAAACCTTTAATAAAATATTTGTAGACTGTACTGGCTGAAAAAAGAAAATCAAAAAGTAGAAAAAGCAAGAAAACAAACGTTTGGAAGCATATTGTTCATTTCCAGCCAACGGAGAAACTAAACCCCAAATATGTGGACCAAAATGAAATTTTTCTATTCTGTGAGAAATATTTCCATCTTTAAAAATGCACAGTTAAAAATAATTTAAAAAGAAAAGAAAAAACGTTGATTAGGCCCAAGATGTTGAATCATATTTCCAATAGGCAAAGATTTCCCAATTGTAATTGTCAAACGATCACCACTTCCTTTGAGGACTGGAACTTTACCACTAATTCGGCAAGCACTTCCCTCTTCGAGTTCATCACTTCCACCTATTAAAAATCAAATAAGATTGGGTAATATTTTGAAATTAAGTGAGAGATAAATGTTAAGCCTCGACCAGGCACCTCTTAAAAGTGAAGCTAGGACAAAGGTGCTCTACAGACTGAGCTACCAGGGTGCTGCTTAAACTTTTCTTTAAGTAAATCTTAAACCACAACCTAGTAAGCTTTTAAATGCTAGACAGCCGATTTCCCTTCTTACTTATAATTCCAAAGACTGACACAATAAAATTAAATATACCTCGTTCACTACCAGCAGCAATAATTTGAAAAACGCCCAATCCAGTTCCAATCATCATAATAATATGTTCTTCATGAAAACCTTCATCATCATCTCCTTTCTTTTCTTTTAATTTGGCTCGTTGCTGTTCCAATTCTAAACGTTCTAACCGCTCCTTTTCTTCTTCTGCCAATTCTAAGCCCTCCTCAATATGACTGCCAACATATTTTACCTTAAAAATTTAAATTGATTGAAAGATTCAATTTTTGATAAAAACCTGATCAAGTCCCTTCAACGGAGTTCCTGGTTTAAAATGTTCACGATGGACACGTTTTAATGCTTCCCATAATTTTTCTTCTTCTTCATTCATTTCATACCTAATTTTTAGATTTAGAAAGTTTTAGAAATTATGTCACATGTCCCACACTCCGATTCGGACACACAATGTCATTTGAAAGAGTTAATTAATGGAATCAAAATTAAGGTTGAGTTTCAATTGTAAGCCAAGTTAACAATAAGCTAGTCACGCTCTTTCGGATAACACATTGTTTATCCGAATTGGAGGACCGCCCACAGCCAGGATTTTTCATGAGGGTTTTTAATTCTTTCCAATCCTCCTAGTTACAAGTCTAAACATTTGACGCAATTTTTAAAAAATATTAAAATATTTAAAACACAAAAAACCTTGTTGGAGTTTTCTTTATATGCGTTCCATCTTTTGTCGGCTCTACTGAATCAACACCCATCGGCATAACTGCCAAATTATTGCATGGTGAAGCAACAATCATATCAATTTCTAACATTGGATTTCTTTAAAAAACAAAATTTTAGCTTCGAAAAATAAAAACTTCTCACGTTTCATCAGTATCAACAGAAAATCGATATTCAACTTCATCATTGGTAAAATAATTGTGAATTTCTCCAATAAATAGAACAAAAATTAAAGTAAAGCTGAGGACAGTCACTGAAAAATAAATTAAAAATCAATATAAATTCAACTAAAAAATCCTCTCACAAATTCCATTAACAGCTTTTGGTTCTTCTTTAACATCATCTGTTACTTTAACAAAAGCATCAACTTCTTGGACCATTTCTCGAACACTTCCAATTCGTCTTTGCCGAATAGCTTGGCCATTAGGTAATTCCATTAAATAAAACAATAAATAGACTAAAAGCTAATCTAAAAACTTAATTAATCAAAAAAATTTGCCACAAAATATAATTAGAATTTTTTGTAATGTTGGTCATTTGTAGTGCACAACAAAACTTTAACTGTCTGACACAACATATTTTACATAATCTTTTTCTCTAATTAACAGTAAGAGATGTTCAGACAAAACGGTACATTACAAATTGGCAACAAAGAGACATGTTGACAAAATGGTACAAGAATATTTGACCGTTTTACAAAAGTTTGCCTATGTACCATTTTGTCGCGTACTGTTTTTGTAACAGACCCTTTTCATGCATTCCATTTTGTCGATTAACATAATGAAGTAGCGTTAAAAATTAATTCAAATTTTCAAGTCTTTTAAGAAAACCACTAGAGTAAAAAAATTTAAAAATAAACGTCAATTAATTTATAAAGTAAATTGTTAAAAAAATATACAAATTTTTAATAAAATCGATTCTCTTTTAAAATTTTCTTATAATATTTATAAGAATTAAAATATAGCATAAGTGAGTAAAATTCATTAAACAAAATAAATTTAAAATATATTTAAGTAAATAAAATAACATTTTAAAAAAATCGGGCAAGGCTAAAAATAAATTTTTATTTTTTTTAATTAATAAAAGAAGAGAGGAAATTTGAATATTTTTGTCAAAAATTATAGACCTTGTGTTTAAAAAATAATAATTTTTTAATTTATAAAAAGGTCTCTCTCAAAGCCCTGAAAAAAAAATAGATAAGTAATATAAAAATTGAGGTCAAAGCCACTTTAGAAAATAAGTAATTAATGTTGTAACTAAATTTTCAAATTTTCTGTTAGTAGACATTTTTAACTTTTTTTTCCATTTCAGTTACAACAT